ACTTATCATGATATCCCATCCACCCAAATAAGCCATGGTCACGCACTCACCTCGCATCTGGATCGATTCTAGATAAGGACAACTACGAAGAGAGACCTCTATCTTCCCTTCGTCACGAATCAACAAAACCTCGATCCTTTCTCCAAAAACCTCCACATAATCAGGATTGGAAACCTAATCTAAAAACTAGATACAGAGAGCTAACCAACGGTTTGTGGAGCATCTTCTGAGTCTTTCTGGTTAGACGGGAATCCTTCCTCGAAGTGGACTAATAGCAGACCCGAAACTGCACAAACCTCTCTCAGTCAAACAATGATAACTCCTAGAATACACATCCGATTGACAAACCATTTTCTCCTTTATCAAGATTAGAGAGTGGATAACTTAACCTGAAAGTTTCGCTCTAATTCAATTTGTTCTTACTGGCCGTTACTCTCCTCTTCTAAAACCGTACATAACTGCCTCCAAAGCCTCAATCACGCCTTTTCTTAGCCTCAAGGAACAAGAACACTCAAACCTTGTTTTCCTCTCTGAAAAACGCTGACCTACGGCTGCTCTGCCCTTTATATACGAGTCATAGGGTTCGCATAACCCGAACCAAAAACGACGATTATAATCGAACCAACCGGTTAACCTTCCAAAATTCTTAATTTTGGTTCACGGACGTTACATTCAGCGCCATAGTTCATGTCTTCAATCTCGTGAACTCGCTAGGGAATGAAAAATGAGCTACAAAAAGAAAGGGTTTTCGTTAATAATTTATTTATACAATCATGAATTAAAACTAATTACATTTTAAGGAAATCATTTCAAAAGTGTACCTAACTAGGATTGATCTTGATTTCGTAGCTGGATTTGGGAGTCAAGTTGTTGCCGCGAAAATAACTTTCAAACCCTCTCTCTCTTTAAAGAACAGCCGGAAGTTGCTCAAATTCGTTAGTTATAAGGTGTCTCAGTGTAACTAGAAACAAAAAAACAAGCAAATTGGAAGTTAAATGAGAAAGCAGAGCACAAGTTTAAGCAACCATAATTTTTAAGTCTACCACCTCGTTTATCCTATCTTGTAACAACTAAAGTGCCAAGCGCAACAAAAGTGAACTCATTAATTGGAAAAATAAAATCAGAACTTTTCCAATTGTCATATCTATCATATAATCCAGAAATAACATCACGACCAGTTCGCAGAGCAAAGTAAAAGAAATGACTATTAGGACTAAATCCTTAACGTTAAGAGAAAAGCCACATTCTTTTGGCTAAAGTCAAAATTCTGAGAACTCTATGCATGCATGTATGACCAGTCAATTTCCAATCGTATTCATCCTCTACTGTGTTGCCACACCACTCGAGCGCTAGACACAAATAACGCTCACTCGTCTAGTTACTTCGACCATTGTATATGAGACCCAAATACCCTTAAACCGGTTCAATATATCAACTACACAGATGCACTAAAAATTCGCCTAAATTAGTTGCATATAATAGTAAATGAACCATATTGTCATTAGTAATATTCGCCTAAACTAAATAAATAAATTTATTCCAAAAAATTATTATTGTTATTTTGATAGTAGTAAATGAACCATAT